GGACTCTCAGTGCTTTACTCCACATATATTTTAGCTGCTTGATATTTTATGCTGTGTGGTTAAAAGCACATTTTTCTCTGTGTTGTCCGTAGACTGTATAAAACATGGACGTTGTCTCAGTGACATCACCCAGGAGTTTGGATAAAGATGATGCCATATGGAAAACGTTGACTCTAACTTGTCAAGAGGCAAAAAGGTGGAGCTGAGGCGAGCCAAAGGAATATCTTTGTTGATAAAACACGCTCATTTTGCACTTCCAGCTCGTCACCTAGCTAACATAGTCCCCGTAAAACTTCACAAACTAAACTGACAGTTTAAGATTGGTAACAAGATTTTGCTATATGAAGCGTAGCCTCCATGGCTAACAGCTACAATGTGCCCACGTCAGTCAAATCAGCCACACCCCTAATTATCCCAAGTTATAAAAAACTCTCAGCTTTAATATGATCAAAACAGATACATTATAAAAACCTCTGTATAGTTTTTACTAATAAAGAAATAAGCTATAGAGACCAAAACCATTTAATGTCCCAGGCTGTAAACATTTGATTTATTTTCAGTTTTATATAAAATAAAAAAATGGTGGGCTCTTTAAGCATTTATTAGAGAGGCAGGACGGTGGATGGAACCAGATATCATGGCAGGGAGAGAGTGAGGAATGACAAGCAGCAAAGGAGCCACAGGTCAGATTCGAACCCAGGCTGCCCACTCCAAGGAATGCATCCTTTATACATAGGGCCCACAAACTATCCACTAGGCCACTGGTACCCTAACATTTTTGTTCCTGTGGTAGAAATGGGCTTTTTAATATGGGACCTAATAGGGATAGTTGGGCAGTTGTGGCTCAGTTGGTAGAGTCATCGCCTCTCAACCAGAAGGTCAAGGGTTCAATCCCCAGCTGAGCAACATGCCCAATGTGACCTTGGGCAAGACACTTAACACCTGCTTCTTCGGTGGTGGTATATGAAAGGATTAGTGTTGTACTTACTGTCTGATGTACGTCGCTGTGGATAAAAGGGAATTGTAGAATTGTAGTCTCAAGTGGACACTCAAGGAACTGCAGTTTTCAGCATTGCCAAACAAATCAGGTTTTGTTGTTGCTTATTTATTTATTTTACAAAGAAAATGATTTTGTTTAACCGTTTCATATAAGAAATATCAAGCTTGAGGTGGTGCTGTTTTAATAAATATATGAACAACTTTGAAATACCACTTTACCTTGTTGTTTTCTTAATGCAACTTTTCTTTTCTTAATGTAGTTCCTGGTGTGTGTGGATGTCTGGTATGTTAAACAGGAACAGTTAAAATGCAGTTAGACCAGATCTGTGGGCTAATGGCACCGTTCATAATGGACAGTCAGTTTAACAAGGTGACAGTCTCCATTTTCAAACTGTTTTATAAAGTAGATATTGACAACATTTTGCCATTTTAATGTCTGAATTCTGTATTATGAATAATTTTCCTCTGAGATAAATACTATGGATCCGCTGTAAAAGACGTGGCCATAACTTTAAGCTTGTATGCGGTTTTATAATAATCACAGACAGAACCAGGTGGCCATTTATATGCCTATATCAAAGTCAGAACTAAACACGGAGAAGCAGCATTCAGTTTCTATGCTCCTTATATCTGGATCAAACTCCCAGAAAACTGCAGGTCTGCTGAAACTCTCAGCTCTTTTAAATCCAGGTTGAAGACTCACCTGTTTACAGCTGCCTTTCATTAAACAATTTTAACAAGATTTTAAACTTAAACTCTGCACTGTAACTTTTAACTCTTTTTATATTTTTACTCTATTTATTTCAATTAATTTCATTTGAATTATTTCTATTTGAACATATTTTCAGATTTAATATTTCAGTGATTTTTAAATTTTCTATTTTAATGTTTCTTTTCTTTCCTCTGTCATGATGCTTTTGTCTTGTGTGAAGCACTTTGAATTGCCTTGTTGTTGAAATGTGCTATATAAATAAACTTGCCTTGCCTATATGACTTCTCCATCATTTGTTTCCTAGCTGGTGTATTTTTAGATGAATAATATTCATCTTAGTTTTTAGTAAAATTTTCTTCCCTGTATTTCTAATTTCTAATGTCAGTTTGCAGCTGCAGGTTTATTGTTGTGCAGTTGTGTAACATCACATGAAAAACCAGACAGTGGAAAAATGGGAGACATTGAAATCTCTCACTGAGGTGAATTTTCTCCTCTACAGGCAGGTCAAAGGTCAGGGTTACAGAACAACAGCAGCCATGGAGATGGTAGAGAGTTGGAGTCAATCATAGGTTAGCTTTAGTTCAGGTCTGCTGTCAAAGCTGAACGTAAACATTAAAGCTTCTGTGTTCCTACAAAAGAAATTGTCTTATTTGCATGCCATAGCTCGTAGGCATTCTTTATTTGACCTTTTTGCCTCAGATGCGGAGGCAGTGAGTATGAGTAGGGATGCTACTAGGGATTAACTTCCTCGTTGAATGACCATAAATTTAAATTCAGCTTAATCTAACAAATAGAAAAAACTTGGAGGACAGTCAAATTGAGCCAAATTGATCTAACACGGGATCACAGCATCTGCTGGTAAACAATGTCCAATTGGCTTGCTGAGTGTGGCTAACGGTAGCCATGCTAGCACCACCACAATAACATTCAACATAACAGAAAGCGTCTTGGCCGGACCACCTGTTTACTGCAGTATGTAACTTTGGCAGTGGGCCGGGGTCATCTCGCGAGAAGCGCCCACAGCTTTACGAAATGAGTTTGCACTTCAGTTATGAGGAGACGCCAGTTGGACCATCTCGGTGGTGTTTGGATACAATGGCTAAGGGACGAAGAGCTTTGAACTGAGTGCTGCTACAGTCTGACTTTTATTATCACACAACCGAGCAATTTAACTCATCCTGTTTATCAATTAGACCCAAACAAGGCGGAGGTGTCAGACAGGCCTGGCTTTAATTACTGACGACATTAATTCTGCAGAGAGAGCAGAGTTAGAGGAGCGAGCACAGACTGAGTCAGTGTTGTTGAACTCACTCAGCCTCTCCTCCTCAGAGACGCAGCACAAACACTCGTCTGAATGTTTCCGGGTGTCGGGGTCTTAATTGGAAGTCAGTGGTGCGGATGTTTGGGCGACACTGTCAGAGCTGATATTAATAGCTGTCACAATGTGAAGAGAGAGCTGTATAATTCTTTCATATTTATGTTTATTTAATCAGGATCTTTCCACACTATTAGGCCTTCATTCATATTGTCAGCGGTGGTTCTTGGCATTAACAACAAAGGTGTTCTGAATGACATGTGAGCTGGGGGGGGGGGGGAGGATTTACAATTCCTTTCACTCAAGGCAAGGCAAAAAGAAAACGAAGACATGAGCTCTTTTCATACATGAACTTAAGACATTTTCTCAATAATTTTAGGACATTCAGGCCCTGAAACTTTCTGGAAAGTCACACTTTAACTCACAGCAGAAGATTATCTAAGTTTTCCATGCTCTAACACCTCGAAATACTCGAAAGTGACTGTTTCTTTGTTGAAGGGTTAGGGTTAGGGTTAGGGGTTAGACAGGTGAAAAGAGTGTTTTTTTTTAAATTGCTGTCAGAGCTGATATTAATAGCTGTCACAATGTGAAGAGAGAGCTGTATAATTCTTTCATATTTATGTTTATTTAATCAGGATCTTTCCACACTATTAGGCCTTCATTCATATTGTCAGCGGTGGTTCTTGGCATTAACAACAAAGGTGTTCTGAATGACATGTGAGCTGGGGGGGGGGGGGGAGGATTTACAATTCCTTTCACTCAAGGCAAGGCAAAAAGAAAACGAAGACATGAGCTCTTTTCATACATGAACTTAAGACATTTTCTCAATAATTTTAGGACATTCAGGCCCTGAAACTTTCTGGAAAGTCACACTTTAACTCACAGCAGAAGATTATCTAAGTTTTCCATGCTCTAACACCTCGAAATACTCGAAAGTGACTGTTTCTTTGTTGAAGGGTTAGGGTTAGGGTTAGGGGTTAGACAGGTGAAAAGAGTGTTTTTTTTTTAAATTGCTGATCAACAACATACAATTCAACTCTGTGTGCTAATACATTTGTTTGAGATCGCTACTGTATGCAAAATGGACGTAGTCTCATTGACGTCATCCCTCGGTTTCTGAAGAGGCATTATGAGACAGAATGACTCCATGTTGGAAATGCTATCTCAACCTAACCTTTGATAAATATTGAAATGGTTGAGGCGTGCCTTAACCTCCTAGCACACAGCCACAACGTGACCACCTGTAAGGCCAAAATACACAAGTGATCTTCTGCAGCCCCTGCACGTATATATCTGAGTATTTTCTCCTGTAGAAAATGTGTCTATTAATCAACATATTGAGTGTCTAATTAAAAAACTGAGGGTGAAATTGGGTTTCTTTTTTCTTGTGTACAAGGATGAAACCTATCATCTGTTTTGTATCTGTTATTGACTACAGTCATATTCTTCCAAGGAATATTCCTTGTATGTCAAAAACATTAGAATAAACACTGCAGCGGATCTGGCTGATAAAGGCTGAAGGCGCTTGATCTCTTTTCAACATTTTCTGTCTGTCTGCAAAGTGCTAATTACTGTGGAGTTTCTGCTCCCTACTTTCCAGAAGTCTCTCTTCTGTTTAACAGTGGGGGCAACACCATGATGCCTCAGAGGATTTTTCTCTCAGCACAGAGAGAGAGAGAGAGAGAGAGAGTTTTTGTAAAGATCTATTTTACTTTCAAAATGCATACAGATAAAATATGATTACTGATTTAAAAGTCGGTAAACACAAACATGCAGACAGGAACATGCTTGTTACTCGCTATGAAGAGGACCATCATAACTGAGGACTGGAAGAAAAAACATCAAATTATAGTCTGGGTTTTAATGCTTCTCCGATCTGCACAGAGAGGAATTAATAGCCGTGACATCTCAGTGAACACTCTGCTAATGACTCAGAAACACTAACTCACACTGTGTGTGTCTCTTTGTGTGCAGGTGAAGCAGACTATGGAGGAAGCTGTGACGAAGAAGTTTGTCCACGAAGACAGCAGCCACATCATCGCTCTGTGCAGTAAGAACAATTTTCTGTCAATACACACACACACTGTCTCCTTTTCTTCCTGTCCTTGTCCTGCCAACACACACACACACACACACACACACACACACACACACACACACACACACACACACACACACACACACACACACACACACACACACACACACACACACACACACACACACACACACTTGTTGAGCTCCCCAGCAGGTGCCTGGGCGCTGTGTCTCCGTCAAGGACTCTTTGACGTCACTGAGCTGAGCATCAATGGAAAGTTAATAATCACAGTGGAGCTAATGGAAACCAATTTCTGAGACAGGCTGTTAGGCTGTACAGAAACCAGGCTTTCTGAGCTTGTGTGTGTGTGTGTGTGTGTGTGTGTGTGTGTGTGTGTGTGTGTGTGTGTGTGTGTGTGTGTGTGTGTGTGTGTGTGTGTGTGTGTGTGTGTGTGTGTGTGTGTGTGTGTGTGTGTGTGTGTGTGTGTGTGTGTGTGTGTGTGTGTGTGTGTGTGTGTGTGTGTGTGTGTGCGCGAGGGGTTGCCCCTGATGACTGGATACTTGGTCTTGCAGTGTGTGACTCACAGCTTCCAGTCGGTCACAGATCTAACTCTTCCTGTCGCTTCAGATCATCAGACAGATGAATGGGTGTCTTGTCTGTTTACGGGGTAAACAAACTTAAGTGCATTGAAAACAAACAGCAAGAGGCTTCCTAAATAGGGATTTGCACGATCAGACGACTAAATGAAGAAACGTTGTCACCCTCTCTTGTTGGCACCTGAATTACTAGTTGGTTTAATATGAATTAACTGGGCCCACAAAGCTGGTTGTGTCTTAGCTGTAACGCAGCCCCCCACCACTAGTCAGCGCTGTAGCTCTGGTTAATGAGCCTGTTCTTCTTGCTCTACTGCCAAGCTGTGAACCAGCACTGTGGATAGATGACATCTCATCGAAGCACTCGACTGAAGCAATATGTATCCACATTCAGAACAGGTATGTGGTCGTTAACCTCAGTCCACCATTGTGAACAAACATTCATGCCTTCACTTGGAAATCAAATCAACAAGACAATCCTAGTAACTTCAGAACGTGCCTAAGAAATTAGCTTTCATTTTAAGATTTCTTGAGTATTAAAGTAATCAAGTGATAATTGTCTGTGCAACCACGGGCACACTGCAAACAGGAAATGATAATAGCCAATTAGTCGTTAAAAAAAAATGATGGCAGGGTATGAGAAATCATCTGAGAGCATTAGATAATAGAGAAAATTATCCTGGAATCACGAGTTAATCTGCTCTGTCTACATAGATAGTATTGGTATTAGTGTATATACTTTGCCCACTGCGATCTTTGCATTTCAAATGCAAAGCCCACTCTGATATGTCAGGATAAGCAGTCACTTATCAAGATGGTCACTCAACTTGAAATTATCGGCACATGTACGAGCGTCACTGCTTGACACCGTGGAGACTGATAATGCTTGTTATTATCCACTCTGCAAGCGACAGACAGAACGAAAACTGCTAGTGAAGTACAAAGATACTCTGATTAAAAGCTAATTGACTGGTGAATAAATCTGGTAATATCAACGCATATCTGCGATCAAATTAACCGATACCGATAATCACTGAATATGCCAATATCGGCCGATCGGTCGGGCTGTAATGGAGACAGCTGAAGTTTTTTTGCTAATTTTTAAATCAACAGTCTGATTCATTCAAGAGTCAATTTCACTTAAAGTATTTCATAGTTTGCAAAGGGTGGAGGTCATCAGTTATTAGCTTCAGCGTGTCCCCACATTGTAAACTATAGTAATCCTATCTGATTCCTTTTTCTTTTACTTAAAGGTATGAGTGATTCCAGCATGTTCTGTACAGATCAAATAACAAAGTTCATTTTCACCGCTGACTTGTTAAAAGTCAAAGATTAAGTAAAAAGATTATAATAACCGTCTCTCTCCCTCGTCGTGTAGCGACAGGAGGGCTGTGGGCTTTTGTGATTGGATGCAACAAAAAGAGTGATTTCTGTGAAAGCAGAGTTTATTACCCATCATCCTCACTTTATCAAACATGTCGCTCATGAACGGCAGGAAAGCACCGTCCTCCCCTGTCTGCCCGAGGAGTGGACGTCTGACCTGAGAACAGAGCGGGGGGTGTAAATTAAACTGTCACTCTTTGATTCAATAATCGCTGTTGAATATGACGTCTCTCACCTTTAACAGAGCGGCATCCTGTCACTGGTTTTAAACACATAAGAGTGAAGAAACACTTGATTGATCAATTGCTGAGGTCGCAGGGACGAGGTTTGTGAAAACACAGATATACTCACACAAGAGTAAGAGAGCTAAAGGTGTCAGAATTAAGGTGTAACTTATACCAAAGCAAAATCAGCTGACATTTTCTGTATGAACATTTCTTTACACACCGCCTCTGTAAATATATTATATTTATATATATTTACATATTCTAATGTTTGAAATACGATATTTCCAAATGGCATCAGTATCACAGAGCGCTTCTTAATCCTCAAGTAACTCCACCACATGCACGGTGACTCTGAAGCTGTTTTCTATTCATAGACATCGAATCGGATGTTTCTGTTTCCGTTCTGTTGTTTGTATTAGATCTCTTTCATGAGACAGATTGCTCTGAGTCATCATACTAACCCGGCTGGGTGACCAAATGACCCCCTGAGGGAAATTACAACACGGCCCTCTTGAACCTTTGCTGTGTGCTTTGCTCACATGTGCAGATTGAAGTGTGTGTGTGTGTGTGTGTGTGTGTGTGTGTGTGTGTGTGTGTGTGTGTGTGTGTGTGTGTGTGTGTGTGTGTGTGTGTGTGTGTGTGTGTGTGTGTGTGTGTGTGTGTGTGTGTGTGTGTGTGTGTGTGTGTGTGTGTGTGTGTGTGTGTGTGTGTCTTCTGCTTCATGTTATTTTCTTACAAATGGAACAATTTTCTTGTTATTTACTCGTAGTTGTCTGGAAAATCATGCACAGCTGGTTAAATTTAGACCATTAACTAATCCCTTTGTGGGCTAAAAATAAGAAGAAATAGCACGACTTTGAGAAAAAGGGAGAAACAGTCTGAATCAGGACACATTTCAAAGTCTTTTAATACTTTTGAAACATAAACCGGTGCAAAAAAACCCAAACAAATAAAATGCTTTGATTTATTTAGCATAAATATTTACACAAAACCTATGAGTAGCTATGCCTGATAGATATTTGAAACAATCAGATGAACTCAGTACAGACGGTATTAAATTAAATGATCTTATGGTGGATAAAGATAGCACAGAGCATTTGAGCTCCTTCATGTAAATGTGAGCATGCAGGCTAACGTCATGACGTCACCGTGCTGTGGCTAACATCATCCTCTGAGCTCCTGGTTAAGGTGTAAAAGGTAAAGGTCAGATGCTAATTATAAGCAGTGATGTCAGTGCAGGAGTGAGTCACAGCCGGTCCACTCTCACTGCTAACACCTGTTCATTGTGCTTCTTCTTTTGTTAATGAGAGCCAAATTAACTCCAGTGTTTCATTAGTGGAGACAGTGAACTGAAGGAGGGGACTAACTCAATTATTTAATTAAACTGTCACATTTAGGCTTTGTGTCTGCAGCCAGGTGTGATGCAAAAACTCTTTATTACCAATTTACACTTTCAAGAAACGCCTTTTCTTGAGAACATTTCCATAATTTCTGCTTCATTCCTGTGTTTTTGTTTTACAAGGTTACAGGAACTCAAAGTTCTTAGCTTTGTTTACATTTTTTAATAAAGATTAGTACAAGATAACTTGTCTTTAGGCTGACTTACAACAACAAATCGTATGTAACACTTGGTCTGAGTGGCAACCTCCTGTGCCGCAGAATCAAGCCAACGCTAATGTGCAAAAAATCTACAGTCTAACTCCCAATTTCCACATACTCCCTGTGAGCCGCGTTCCGTCAGCGCCATGGTTTTGCTCTGTCGGACGGAGTGCACCCTGGTCCGTTTCTGGAACACACATCACAGGAGAACGACAAGATCACACGGGAGTTTTGATATAAGAGATCGTTATTAGAAGATCCGAGATCCATCAGAGCTTTTCCCCACCATCGACTTAGCAGACTTGAGCGCAAACATCAGTCTGCCAACTGCTAAGAATAAGCCTGTGAACACTTGGGTTCATTTCCTATCTGGAACCATCAGGATACATTGCATATTGTTTTTTCCAAATGCACTTGAACGCCCCATCATCTCTCCTCTCTTCTGTCTGTAACTTCAGTCGACAGTTTGTAGGGAGTGAAAAATGCGTGCCAGAGGTAGAGCTTGTGCAGGAAGTTGTCTGTTCTAGCCGTAGGTTTACATTTAACATCATATTCACACCTACATTCAAACACTCAATAAGCGACGGCTATGTCTCCTATACTTTGAGCCGGCCTTCGGGAAACGATTTTAATAGTTTGTCAGAGACGCTAACACAACAGAGTTTGTTTCATGGCTTTGTTGCAAATGCAAATATGCTAAGTTGTTTTTGATATTACAGACCCATAAACCTTCCCCCAAATAGATGTGCAACACATCAGTAATGAATTTGTGGGGGGAAGCAAAAACTTAAAAAAAGACCTTTATTCATTTTAGTCTAGGATAGTTTTGTAATTTTGTAATTTATTTCAAGGATAGCCCCTTGAGATGCATCATCTCATTTTCAAGGGGGTCCTTACAAAACATAAATTAATCATCATAATACAAAATCAAAATAAAAGGTAAATCCAAAACATAATACCAAACATTTAAACACAGAGACTCCCACACCACAAACACACACACACTCACATTCACTCACACTTAATGCTCCCCCAAGCCTAGCCACCCACCAACCAGCCAGTAATACACAATCAGAAAAAATCTAATGAGAAAAAAGAAAAATATAATAATAATAATAATAAAAAGAAAGGAAAACCTCTGCATATATATATATATGCATACACACTATACAGTACTTACACACATAGTGTACGCAACATTAAGGTACAG